TTAAGAAAAGTCCGAGGAGACACGTTGCGGAGTCTTCATGCTGCTTCTTTGCCGGAGCGAAGCCGCAGCATGGTTTAAAAGTCGGTGAAATAATAACCGACATCCCAGAAACTCTTCATGGATTCCAGGAAGAGTGGTTGTGGATTGGAGGAGAGTGGCAGTCTGAGAGCTTCTTTCATGAACCTCAGATTGACGGGATGACGATTCCAATGTTCATTCATTCTGGAGCAAGTGAGTCTTTTTTATCTTTTGATTTGGATACACTTTTCTGATTTTGCCTTGTTCTGTGTACTAACAGGTCGAAACTTTTGCTCTTTGTAGAAAAAGAGACTAAACAAACGGAATCGAGATTGAGTCCGGAGTTCGGTGGGAAATTAATCACACTTGCTAGTTTGGATAAGGAGGTCCGAGATTATCGCAAGCTTGTTGTCGATTCAAAACTTGAGGCGGCTGGATTATCTCCCGGAGTTACCACTGTCAAGTTTGACCCCGGTAATGAGCATTCCCTAGCTGTTGGTTTTACCTGCGCTTTTATGTATATCGAATAGTTGTGAATAACTTTGATTGATTTTGACCGCAGTATACTATCCGCTCCTCGGATTCTTAAGCTATAGCACAATCAAGGAGGCTAAGGAGTTCAGACGCAAGTACCCCAACAAGGATTTGCAGTCCAAGTTCGGTAAAAGCCGAGATTTACGTTTAAACAACATCATGAGAAGGGATTTAGTTCGCGCTTTGGTAAAGAAAACTGCGGGTCAAAAGAATGCTGGTAAAAAATCGACCGAAGTGGGGTCAAGTGCGACTTCGGCGGCTATTCCGGAGAGCCCGAAGTCCTTGCAAGAGGTGACAACTACCGAGGTGCCACCAGTTATGAACGTTACGGCTATTAGCCAAGCAGAGCCTGAGCCTGTTGTGGCAGGGACGGAGCTGGTTGCGGCCGAGGTCGTCCACACCGAGGTGCCGCCCTCTTCTCCGAAGTCTTTGGAGTTGGAACAACTAGAGAGGAGAAAGAAGAGAAAATTGGTGAAGATGGAGGATGTTGGTGCTTCTTCTGGTGCGGAGAAGAGAACTAAGAAAAAATACGACTCCGGTTGTAAAATTGGTGAAAAGGGTCATGATGAATCTCCCTTGTTCGAGAAGTCTTTTTTAACGATCGATGAAGAACGGGCTGCCAATGTTAAGGTGCCCGAAGGTGTTGTGGAGGATTGGTTCACTACCTTTCTGTCTGTGAAATCACCGCATATGTCGTCAAGAATCGAAATGCCAGAGAATGCCAGAAACGCTGCTCGGGTTCCGCTGATGGTTTGGGACCCCAAATCCGAGGTGGGGGTCTCTTCTTTATCCAGCGTTGATAAGTTGAGCTATGCTAAGGCATGTGTTGGCAGGGCCTTGGTTAGTTTAGTGGCAGCCGAGGACGATCATCGCCGGGTTGCATCTCAGTTGGAAGGGAAAAAAGACATCGTAGCCGCGCGTGATATGGTGATCG